TTTCCTTTAAACAACGGGGGGTTAAAAGGTTTTCCGGGTTACCCCCCTTTTTTTTTTTCCTTTTTTGGGCCAAAAAAAAACCGGGGGGAAAAGGGGGGCCCACCAAAAAAAACTTCCCCCCCCCCCCGGTTCCCCCACCCCCCTTGGGTTCCTTTCCGGGGGTTGTTTTTGCCCCTTTTTTTTTTTAAACGGCCGAAGAAGGGGTTTTTTTGGGGGCCTTTTTCCCCTTTGGGGGGGGGGGGGCCCGGGGCGACTTCCCCTTGGGGGGGTTTGATTTCACCAGGGGGGTTTTGGCCCCTTGCCCTTTGTTTCCCTTGGGGTTGGAGGAGAAAGGGGTTTCCCCCGGGGGGTTTTCGTTCGGGGGGGCCCCTTTCTTTCCCTTTTTGGGGGCCTTGGGGGAGTGGGTGGGGGAGTAATGGCCAAAATTTGGGTTTGGTTGTTGCCCAGGCGGGGGGGGGGGGGGGGGGGAGGTCACAAGAATGCGTGCACAGAGAGAACGAGAGCCAAGTGACCAACGTGTCAACTTTTTTTTTGTGCGGCACCGACAGACACCCAGGCATTCATACCCAGCAGCTTTTCGAACAGGGGCTCCGCAGACGGGGGGGGCGGCCACGAGCCACCTTTGCTTAAAAACACCATCTTGCGCTTAACAACAACGCACACAAAATAAGCGCGCCCACCACCAACTAAGTGGCGCCGCGCGCTCCAGCAGCAGTAGCAGCAGCAACGCATGCAAGCGCGCTACAATCGAGCCTCCTCCGACGAAGGTGCATATTCACCCTCCAAAAAAAATGAAACGCGCGTGTGCCGAAGACATGTTGCATCCCCAACACGCTGATTTTAAAGAATTACCAAAAGACATCAATAAAACACACCCAGCCTACAAGTACAAGGAACCACGGTATCATTTTAAATCATGGCACGTAGTTCCATTTTAATTGTATGCTTCTATATCCCCGGCGAAAAAGTGTGCCACAATGATACAAGTAGACACCAAACGCACCGACTTCTTGGTGCATTGCGGGTGCTCGGCGACGAAGGCGTTGACGACGTCCTCCCGCTTGTCGGCCTTGCCGTGAAGCTTTTCCACCAGCATGGGAAGCAGCTCGTCAGGCACGTCCTGCGCACCCCCCAAAGACGGCGAGGACGCACCGCGCCGGGGGTCTTGTTAGCGTTAGGAAACACGAGGAAAAGAAGGGACTACAATATGTACAATGCCCCGTCAGAGTCAGCAAAAACTCTCCTAATCGAAAGGATCTGCTGGATTGACTCCTTGCAGTGAGTGTCGAGAAAAAGTACACCGCCTCGTTTACCGCCACAAGAAGATGTTCGGTTCTGTCGGCAGACAACACACACATGCACACGCACCTTGACCTTGCGGACCTTCCCCTCCTCCTTCCCCAGCCCTGCCCCTGCCCCCGCCCCCGCCCCTCCTCCCTCCCCGGTGTCACTCCGCCTGGCCTTCTCCACCATGGCCTCCACCACCGACACCGGAAACGCGGGGCTCCGCGGCCTCCTGCCGTTCCCGCCGGAGAACGGGGTCACCGCGCGGTAGCCAGAGAGCGCGCGCAGTGCCGGCCTCGCGCGAGCCTCCTCGTCGCTGATTGGTCGACGCCGGAACATGATCGCGGAGACGAAGGCCGGCTGTTGTTGTTGTTGCTGCTGCTGCTGCCCGTTGGAGGCGGAGCCTCCGGCGGCGGCGGCGGCTGCCCCGGCGCCGATGGTCACGCCCTCGCCGACAAAGCCCAAGGCCTTCCTGTTGTTGTTGTTGTTGTTGGCGTTGTTGTTGGCGTTGTTGTTGCTCTTGCCGCTGTCGAAGCGGTCGATTTCCTCGTCGCTGAACTCATCGTCCTGGCGGAGCCACCCGTCCTGTCCAGGTGTTGTTGTGTTGTGTTGTTGATTTC